AGGCTGGTTGTGGAGGTCGGATGTCACTTCAGCACCAAACCAGTCGGGCAGGCAGCAACAATTTAAACGACCAACCCCAGTCCTCTTAAAAGGGCTTTTAACAGCAACGGTTTCAACATGTTTAAGCAATGATTTGAAACCCTGTTTTTCGGTTCCTCCTAAACGTGAGGCCCAGCGGTTGGACGACTTTTTTGCAGGCGAAGGACAAAGTGCCCCGCCTGGCCGTGGCGATGCTGGTGGGGCTCTTGGATTGTGATGGAATCTCGGGTGTCTGGGGTGCTGGAAGGTGGATGTCGCTTCTCTGCCTGAGACGTCGCAAACACGTTGGGAGTCTGGATCTACTTGGGAGGGCTCCGCTGACTGAGCGAGGTGCTTTGCGGGAGCATCTTAGCGGTCGGCTCTTGCCTGTGCAAGGACCGGTTGCGAGTTAGCCTTTCTCAGCAGAGGAGCATCTCCGGACTCAGTGAATAACCTGTAGGCTTTAAGTGAGCAACTGACAAGATTATTGATAGCCTACCAGAGTCTACTGTTGGCTTGGGGAGACACAGGGGAAGCAAACAAACATGTCTGCATAACCGAGGTAAGACCACATAATTTTCCCGTGCGCTTCTGGGGGAACACGGAACTGTGTCCGCAAGTCGAGCTTGCGAATCAGGAGATGGGCTTGACGCCGCGTGCCGAGTGAATGTGACAGCGCTCCAGCGATTTTGGTCTGGTGGGTTCCTGATGAATAATGGGCAATCCCAAAAGCGGGTCCCCTTTGTCTACCAGGCTCATCAGGCCCCGGGTTGCAGAAGTCACCTTGACCTGGAGGGATCCTTTTGGGCAAGGATTTCCCCGCGCTTGGTGACTTTGGTAAACCGGGGCCAGGCCATGGCAAATGTGTCTTCACTTCGGTCTGAGGCTTTTGGTGTTCTCCGCCGGTTTAGAACTGGTCAGTCCGCACCCCAGCGGAGAGGGAAGGCGGTCGTGCTGGTTCTCAGGAAGCTGCTCGCCAAAAATGAAAACCCATTGGGGCACCCTACCCACTTTGCCACGGAACCTGACTGGGGGTTTCTAGTTTGGACCTTTATCCTCCGTTGGGGACAGGCCTCTTGCCATACACAGGTGCGGATCGCTTGTCGTTGCTTCTGGTACACTCCTTTAGCACCAGGTCTTGATCAAGACTTGATTATTTTGCCTCGTCAAGATTCCCTGATGCGTTGGCAGCCGCTCGTTTTTAATGGGCACATGGAAAATAATGAATCTCTGCAAACCGGAAATCCATGGCTTTTGGCTGCTTCTGGTGGATCACAATTGAATTCACATGGATATCATTTTTGTCTTACGTCTCACATTCTGATAGGGATAAACCACTTTCCAGAAAGGATTGCAAAGCCTCACAAGCCATTTGAGTTCGACTGTTCATTTGGGGATGTCCCAAACAAAGGCGACGATTGTTTTGGATGGCCCCGCGCGGCAAGGCTGCAAGCCGAAGAGCCGGGAATTGGCCACAGGCTAGGCCTCAGAGCGGAAAGCCAGGGGACGAGCTTTGATGACTGTGGCTCATGTCGAAATGTGCGCTCCATTTGGATGTCGAGAGATTGACTGCTGAGATGTCATGACGCCCCAATAGGAACCCAAGCACCAGCAAGTCTCAAAGGCACTAACCGCTCAACCAGGTCACCAAGCCATCGTAACCACCGAGAGTCCAAGGCGCTGTGCTCATGGCCGCAATGTCCTTGGCATCCTTTGTGGCGCTCGCAGTTGCGCGCTTTGCCATCACACAGGCCCGAAGTCAAACGAAGCGGCCAGGGCTCGGCTGATGTGTTGGATCAAGCCAAGCATTACGAAGCAGGGACACGCCTCTCCCAGTTGAATGGTTGAGTTTGTGCTCAGTCAACAGTCAAAGGTGAAACTTGCCTGATTTCTCAAAGTTCCCATGTGGTTGTGCTTGGTCTACTTGTATTGTTCCGGGAATGAAACGTGCCAAATTATGTACTACAGTTGATGGATGCGATGCTTTACGTGATGGGATACCTCTCACAAGTGGTTTGTTTGATGTCCAATTGGGCTTGTCATCAAGCAAGGGAACCTAATCATGGGTGGTTTGCCTCTTTGGCTTCCCTCCTTCCAAGCAACCCCAAGAGAGGTATCGAGCCCAACAAGGAATCACCCTGCCCTGAGTTCGCTCCCAAACCTGCTGCTTGGGCAGGGCTCTGCGGCGGTCTTTGGCTTCGTGGACACGCCCGCTGGGCCTTAGTTGCTGAGTGCGCAAGCGAGTTAAAGGCAGGGCCCGCGGAATGGGCTGCGCGAGCACCTCTGACCGCGGCCACGAGAGGTATGGTCTCTCAGCACAAACCGGGACATTCGCCCGTGCAGGCATGGTTTCAAAAGGGCCCTGCTTTTGACAACCGCAAGCACAAGCACCAGGGGTGTGTCGAAAATTGGGCAGGTCCTCAGGCTAATTCGAGTCTACGCCCTTCGGCGAAATCCAATCCCAGTCTACACTCCAAACTAACCAACTCTTAAACCCAGAACAAACCCTAAACCAACTCTGAACCAACTCTGAACCAGCCCTTAACCAACCCCACCCACGACCACCCCACAGAAAAGGGGGGTGGAGGCGGCGGGACCTAGAACCTGACATAATATGCAGCTATGGAACGGGGACATGACAGCCGTTGACTGAAGGTTCCTGGTTTGACACGAGTCAGTGTTTTGAGAGGCTTGGATTTAAGGGGAGACCCGTTTCTGAGACAACATGCTCGAACCGTGAGGTCCAGTACCACGACGATCCGTGGGTCCGTACCTGGAGCCTGCCCGCCGAGTTTTGCTGTTGTTTGAAGGAACGGGTCTGACACGAGTAGTCTCTTTCTGGGTTTCCTTGAACACCACCCCAATAAGCACCCCACATAGGTACGTGTGGCTTATACATTTGCGGTGGGTAGCGGTACGTGCTCCTTGTATTTCACACTTTACAGGCGTGGGACATGGGGCTTGGATGCTGGTCCTTGCATACCTCCAAACAGGCCTTGTATACAGCCCACAGCTGGGGCATGCCCTAGGCTTGTAGAAGCAAGCACAGCTTTATTGACTCGCATGTTCTTTGGTGAGTTCTTAGAGGACAGCCAGAGTAAGAAGCACTGATTTCGGGGGTTCCAATTCCTGTTGACCCGGCAGGCTACCTTTTCCAGCATGCCTACTACGGCAAGCTGCTGATCTTTCCCGGGAGCCTGGCTTGGGCCAGAGCCTTGGCAAGCTGAAATCGGGCGCTGTCGCTGTCGGGGGCATTGCCGGGGCATTGCGGGGAAATTTGGGTTTCTGGGAACTCTTCTTGCCTAACAACTTGGACAACCCAAGAATGCAGTTTCTTTTTGCGCCAATTGGACCTCAATCAAGAAACATTTTTGGTTGGGAGCAGCAGCTGAGATAGTGTTAGGGTAACCGGCCACTCGGCCACTTTCTGGGATACCCTTGAGGCATCCGCTTTGTATTGTGACAAACGCGTCATGGCATCCCGTCATGGTTGGTTTCGATCAATCGCTTTGGGTTCATTTTCCACAGAAGAGCGGTTGCTTTTTGTCTTAAGATGAGATCTATTCAAATACCAATGAGGAGCTATGGCTGGGTCAAAGCCCTAGATCCCTTGTCCCTTGTCCTCCTTGGTGCTTGATGGCCCCGAAACGAAACGTCACTAGGTTGCCACGGCCCCCGGCTGCAAATCCGTGTATGACTTCTGCTTATTCATTGTGACAGGTTTTTGGGTAGTACGCGTACGCATAGTTCGGATGTAACCGCTTCCTTGCTGTTCTCATTTCGATGCATGTTTCGCTACCCATCAGAAGATGACAGAGAAAGCGAAGGAGAGAGAGATCATTTGAAACATAGCTGTGGCACAACTTCACGTCTGCAGCGTTGCAGACAGAGCCACAGGCAGACCCACACACAGGGCCCAAAAGAACTTGTACAAGGTATTTGGGAAATTCTGCAAGTCCCGTGGCCAGGACTACTCTTTCGATTCTATCCCCCTCTTGCGTGCCACTTGGCGCGATTTGCGCGCGCTGCCGGTTTGCACGGCTCCGGCCCCAGATCAGTCCAGACCGTCATGGCTCCCCTGTTTTCTCTTGAGAAGATGTCTGCCTTTGAAACTGAACCCCCAAGTCTCCTTTCTCCCCCGCAAATCCACTGAAGGTCCAGGGTCGGACCTAGATTGCAATGGAAGCCGTTCGCCTTGCCCCTGAAACTGCGCGCAGTAGTGATACGTTGAGATGTTGAGGTGTACGTGTGATTCCGATTGTGTTGCAAGAGGTGATAGTCGAACTGCGTGCCAGTTTTTGCTTTCATGAAGAGGCAGCTGCTGTCCACCAGAAGAAATGTCAGAAGAAGTTTGGGTTCTTCGCACCAATATCTGCCACATGGGACCGTAGAAGAAGTTTGGTTTCACCACGGATATCATCCAAGATGGGTGTTGGCACGATACTTTTTTGTTGCCGACTCCAGACCACAGGAAAAGCAAGATGATGTGATTTGTTTGTCCGAAAACCCTGCCTTGGACCCGTACATGACACCTTCAAAACGGTGTTTTTGACAAGCCGCCCATGTCTTCTTGAATTTCGAGGTCACTTAGACGGTTTGGGAGTGGCTAAATCGATTTCTGGACGTGGGAAGAACACGGACCCCCACCCTCTGAGCCATTCGTCGACCTCTTCCCTCAAGGCCTACTTGGCCCTGCTGGCGCTGATCGCTTGGAGCCTCAAGCGGTCCAGGCGGCTCCTGCCGTGGCCTCATCTTGGGACTTGGAGTCTGGGGATGTGGGGCGGGGGGTTTCTGAAGGCGGGCAAACGGGGGCAAGCAGGTTTGGCAAAGCGGGTTCAAAAGGATAGCGTTTTTCAGAATGGTTTCCAGGCAATTTTTCCAACATATTCGAATGTTTTTCAAAGATGCATGGTTTTCTGGTGGTCTCCGCTGGTCAAAAGCACTCCAACAACATGAGCAAAGCGAACATGATCATGTTCTTGGCTTACTGAAATGGGGGGGGGGGAGAACCACGAAGGCCTCAAGGCGGATCCATTTCTTATTTCTAGTAGGGGAATATTTGCCCAAGAGTTGTGGAAAATGCGTTTTAAACAAAGCTGGCGAACAACGTCGGGGGTCATAGAAAACGCGCGGATTTTGTTGTTTGTCCTCGACTGATCATTGCAACCACAAAATATCATGTTGACATACATTTGCGCTGGTTGATTTTCAGCGAATGCACGAGTCACCGGTTTGGAGTGGGCTGCAGTTGCGCAGCGGTGAGAGGTTGCTGCTGTCCGAGGTTGGGATTGCAGGTCATTGTCATCCCCTTCATCCCAGCGTCGAACTTGTTCTTCAAGGCGGCCATGTTCATGCTCGTGGTTGTGGACAATTGGGGTTTTAAAGGCGACAAATTATATAGTCCTAGGGATGGCCCACTTTGGAATCACTGGACCATGATGCAGACATTTTGTAGCGACGTGTCTCGTCCAGGTGGGTGTCACTATTGGTGAGAGACTGCAGGTCCCTGAGATCTGGAACTGGCTCGTCGAACCTTGAAAGAGTGAACATATCAAATAACACAAGTAAGACACGCGTGGATGAAACCCTGCCAAGGCACCCTTTTGATACAGGCAAACCAGAGTCACAACCCTCACCAGCGCTTCGTGCAGCTTCAGGCTCTACCCTTCCACTGTGGGTGCAGCCGTTGCAATTGCGGTACTGGGCTCAGGGGAAATGGGCAGGACTGGACCAGCGAAGCAAATATCCACCGGAAAGATGAAGTATCCGGCATTAATTGGCCCTGTGTCAGAACCAAACCAGGTCGAGATCTTAGCGACTGGAGTTGATGTGACCAGGCCCCGCTTCGTTTTGACATTTAGCCAGTTGGGTTTGTCTCATGAGGGAACCCGCCAACTCAGTAGTTTCCTTCGGTTTCGCTTGTAACCAACCCCAAGCAGGGCACCGGGTACCCTCAAAAAGGACGCACTCGGTCCAAGGCAATGCTGACTGAGGCTCTTGGGCAGAGATGGTCTCATCGCAGATGGCCGGGGCCTTCGGTTGCAGAAGCTTGCTTCGCGAGCCACCCTGTTCGCCAACATCCAAACTTGGCCAGCTTCTCAAAAGGCAATGCTTTCAATATTCAATGGATCCTCTCTAGTGCATTTCGTGGAGATTTCCGTGATTCGTCCCAGAACTGTGAGATGTGAGCGGGCATCAATGTGAGCAAATTAGCTTTTGCATGTGATGTGCTGACAGACCTTGATTCGGAGTCATGATGGACAGGCACAAACCTGCAGTACCGGGGCCTCACTTAGCCACTGGCAACCCTACAAGCAATCTGACTACCCTTCCATTTTGTTGACGATTGCTAACACTTGCTACATTGTGACCAACCACCACCTTGTGTTTTGCTACAACCCTCATTCCTATCAGAATCAGTCTCAACTTGAGCTTTCTCATCCCCTTCCTGACCTTGGATGCAGGCCCACTCGCGTGCTTTGGGCTCTTCTGTTGCAGCCTCGGATCGGAAGCGACTGGCAGGTCTTGAGAGGAAACGCTTTGGTAAACAAGAGCCACACTCAAGGGGTAGTCGAAGCTTGTTGGGGGAGCATCAATCATGAATGCAGGCGGGTATGCGCCCTTTGATTCTTTAGATCTCTATTTATTAACCATACTACCCCACACTTCCCCAGGACGATACGCAGCTTTGCCCGTAAGCATGCTGCTCTCTCCACCGCTTTCCTCTTGGCTCCTCTCTCAGCTTTTCTGCCTGCTTTGCTCCAGACGTTTCTCTCTGCTGCTTTCTTCGCTCTTCTCCCTCTCTTTTCGGTGCTTTTCCCTCAGCTCCTCTTCTCCATTTCCTGCCAATCCTTTCCTCCACTCATCAGCCAATTGTCTTCTCTCCGCTCCTGTGCCTGTTGTTTTTCTCATTTTTCCAGACTCCTTCTTGCTCTTCTTGTTTTCGCCGCTCTGCTTTCTGTATTGGAATGTGGGCATGACTTTTTGGAGCACCATGCACAGTGGTACATACATTCCCGTCCACCAAAGGGCCCAAAATAAGGCCCATGCCCGTGTGGGCATGTGTCAAAATATTTAGGGGGATCCTAAACATGGTCATACTTTGGTTTTCCTTCATACCAACCATTAAAACGGGTACCCTCAAGAAACACACGCCCATGCGTCTCATGAACTCAATCACTTTTGTGATCCGAGGGCAGTGTATGTCTGGCGCTGCGGCGAGCGGGTGTGGCAGTGGCGATCCTCCGAGGCGGCAAGAGTTTCCATCAGCTGCTGGAATCCAGGAGAAGTTTGGGGAGGAAGAACGAATCAAACTACCGGCATGAGGTTTCCATGAACCTGCTCCGCAGCACTTTGCAGTTTGTTGCTTGACTGGGTTCACAGCTCTTGACCGCTGGACGCGCGCGCTCTTCGGAGGCCCTATACCTTGCGGACGCGCAGAATTGGCCCAACTCTGTGAAGACGCGGCACCAGCTGGGCACCGCCCGAGCGCTCGGGAACGTGGGTGGGTGTGTCCCAAAATCGTGGACCCCTGAAATCTCTTGGTTCTCCTTTAACGTTTGCACGGAAACATGGGCTGGTTTTTGATCTTGGAGAATGCGTTCCCAAGAAGCTACTTCGCCAAAGACACTTGTTTGTGCGGCTTGCTGCTGTGTTTTTTCTTCAGGTGTTCCATCAGCAAGGCAGATATGAAGAAGCATTGCGCGAGCCTTTGCCTTGGTGTGGCTGATCCAGCTGACAATCTGCGTGGCCCATGTTGGTTGCGCCAATAAAGAATGAAAGGGCTCTTTAGTATGAATCTGAAACGGGGTTCGTGCCGCTTGATTGGCGTGCCTGGCTCATGTAGAGGGAGGATGTCCCTAGAAAGGGAGGAAGCATGGTTCTAACAATGGGCACCCCCTTCCTTTTCGGTGGCAGTCGGGCAAACATATTTTTGTACAGACCCATCTAGAGGCAACCGCAGCATGCGAGTTCATACTTGCCGCGAAGGATCTGATCTTTCTGGCATTGAGCCTTGCGAGGTTCAACGCTTCCTTGGTGATCCTGGACGACAATGCAGCTCGCCGGCAGTTTGGCGCCAGTTCTCCTGCCCCAGCCGTTGCCAACGCCTCCACTTGAGCAGGAGTAGTGCCCCCTCCCCCCAGCGAAGCTGCCTGTAGCTTGCCCAATCTGATTCACATTTGCTGTTTGTGCATATCGAGTTCACGTTGCTACATTGGTCGTCATAAACGCACTCACCTCAATGTTGACGTTGTGTGGGTATGTACTTATTCAAGGCTGTCTTCTTTGGATGAATAAACCTTCTGGATAGGGGGCATGTTTCCCCCAAAAGTGCAGGATTTCTGAAACCCCTAATTGGTGTTATCAGTGCCGTTGGGGTAACTTTCCATTGGGTTTGAAGACAGCCAGCCCAGACGCCAGCGGGTTTCGGCTGCATGAGTTGAAGGCAAAGAGTGTCTATCACAAAGCATCTCATCACGGAAAACATCTCCCAAACAAGACACAATGGATGGTTTAATCACTAGCCTGCTTGATGCCTGGCTTGGGATCGTTCGATGTCAGCTCCTGGGACTGCTTCAAATCAATCCACCCCCAGAAGAGGGGCTGGCCTCCCAGCAAGATACACTCACCCTTACCCGTAGTGGTTTGGGACCCGGTAGCTTGTGGATGTTATTTTTTGGTGATACAAGCAGGGTATGTTGGTATGTATGGATCCAAGATGGACAGGAGTGACCGCAAATCCTTTTTGTAGGAATTATGTAGGAGTTGGAACAATGAAGGATTAGCCGTCCAGAGAGCTTCTCTATCTCATTCCCGTCTCGCCCCATAGCTGGGAGAGAGAGGCATGTCGTTCGTACTACTCACTCTCTGTCCTATGCTATCTTCGCCTGGCGCCATATGTCCCCATCCCTTTATTCACGATCAAATGGGATGACCAGACAGACGGTTAGGGATGGGGACGACTAGAATGCTTGACACGCGATATGCTTTCCTCGACCTTGATTGGCGTTCTGTCTTGGGAGTCTAAGAGTGTGTCTATGTGTGAATATATTTTGTATATATATATATATATATGTCTGTTTGTGTGTGTGTGTGCGTGTGTCACAGCCGGGTCTGAATCCACCCACAGGCCCTCACTGACCACTGCATCGCGCAGATCTACATCGAGTCACTCCCTCGGCGACCATGTCGATTTTGTGCTCCCCAGCGGCAGGTATAGGACCAACAGGAAGGACCCAGCCATTCTAAGGGGTAGCGAAGCATAACCATTTAGGGAAGTAGTGATCAACAATTTTAAGAATAAGACAAATTCAAAAACATACCTATAAAGGCGAAGCAACAGCAGGCTGAAAACTTCTAGAAGGGGAATCAAGTGAAACACCAGCAAGACTGTTGGCCCCACACAGTGGGGTTGCAGAAGCCTGGGGGTAGCCCTGGGTTCCGGGAGGGCCGATGGGGAAACTTGCAGGCCGATAGACTAAGAGGTTGAAGGGGTGGGAACCAGATAAGCAGGTTGAGGTCGGAAAAGCGCACCTTCCTTTAACAGGCAAACTTGCGAACTCCAAAGTCAGGGCACAGTCCTGCACAAGCCCGGACTCTATGTCAAAATGCGAGCTTCACGTCATAGCAGTCAGAATTTGTGTTTCGGTGTTAAGCTTTGCGCAGATACATCCTTTCCTGAAAATATAACCTTTTCACCATTCCTTACACCTGGGAAGCAAAGTGTGATCCAAAGGGAAGCTGCCCTTTGTTGAATCTTAACATTTGGAGGATCTACACGCGCTGATCTGGTGAGCATTCTTGATCGTGGTCATTATGCTACCAATGACCCATACCGCTGATTGCAACACCTTTGGTTGATTCCTAGGGTACAGAGAATACTTCGCTTTTGGGGGAACACTCCCCAATAACTCCACCAGGTACTCAAATCCAGGGTCGATATAGAGTTGAACACACAGAAGGCTATGATCAGTTGGCGCCCGCCATGGCACGGCTCCCTGCTGCCCCGCGCTGCTTCCTTCGGCCGGCAGCGCAGCTTGAGGCCGCAGGCTGGAACTTTGCACGGGAAAGCGTTTGTTCCAATGCTGATTCAGACCCGTAACAAGGGGAGCCATTGCACCCCAATAAGTTTCTATGAGTGACTAATAGTGACTATCGCATGAAGGACCACGGTCACAACCTTCTCATGGCTGATTGCCGTGGCTCTGAATCAGTGGATGATTGAGCAGATCGAACCCGTTTCCAGGGCGTCTCTTTCTGCGGTCTATCGGTTTATTGTTCCAAACGTGTGCCTGCCGAGGCGTGCCTGTGGATGCTTGGGGTGCCGACAATTGGGACCGATTCAGTGGGGAAATGACCCGAGCTGCGGACGAAAAACCATATGCTTGGAATCTGATTCGGAGCTGGTGCACCTTAAATGTATTAATTTTAAAGAGATGCACGGAAACCAAGGTGGAGCCAGCACAGTTGCAGCGCACGCAAGTGGACCAGGCATCTATTTGTTAGCGTTTGGGGGCCCCTCACACCAACCATCCCACATGTTGTCAATGAGGGGCCAGTCTTCGCATCCATTGAATCGCATCATTTGCTTCGAAATGAAACAAGGCACACCTGCAGGTTCGATTTGTTGCGTGGGCACCGAGCCCACATGCTTCGAAGCATGAATGAAAGCAGAAAGCAAAAGGACACCTGCAAGTTTAGCAACGGGTCCAATCAGGATTGCGAACCCAACCCTTGCGTGACCTGGTGTGGATGTTGCAGGGGGTCATTTCCAGATCGAGATCATGTCGCGACGCTTTGTGTCGGCTCCTGTAATTTAAATCTTCGGTGGGGACACTCCATGGCGTAGTTTCGTGTTGGTTCCCATTCATGCCTCCCAAAAGGGATTCTTGTCTTTAACACGCGAAGTACATGCTGGTGCAACGTGCGCCCCAGCTTTTGATCCGGATTGCGAGGTTCAGCGGATCTCGCAGAAACCTCGGCCCGCCAAGAAGGACAGAGGCAGTGAGGCATTGAATGTGACACCGGGGTAATGTTGCGCAGTGCTTCAGCTCAAGAGCTTCAAGCCAAAGTGCCGGCTAGACAGTTGGGAGGGTCTTACGGTTGCGGTTCAAAGCACATGATGGAACTTTGTTTACACGGGTGGCGGCAGGGATTTGAACCCTTGCGCATTTTGCGATATCCTTTTCAAAAAGGGTTGACAATGTTCTTCCCGGAAGCATGCGAAGGGTTCTTCTTCTAAAAATGGCTGCAAACTTCAACCGCCAACTTCTCTTGCCACCTTTTCCAGCGCTACTTCACCTGCTAACTTCCCCTGCCAACGTTTGGAGTGCCACTTCACCTGCCAACTTCTCCTGCTAACTTTTCGAGAGTTACTTCACCGTCCAACTTCTCATGCTAACTTTTTCGGTGTTACTTCGCCTGCCAACTTCACCTGCCAACTTTTGGGTGTTACTTCACTTGCCAACTTCTTCTGCCAACTGTTCGGGTGTGACTTCACTTGCCAACTTGTCCTGATACCTTCTCAGGTGCTACTTCACTATCCTTAAGGCACTAGACAGCTTTTCTTTTGTGCCTTCTCTTCTCGAGTCTTAATTATTCTTCTATTTCGGCGGCGGGTATGACAGACGGGAGCTATCGAAACACTCCCCTTTGCGGAGATCGTGCGTGTCGAAGCACTCTCGCTGCGGCGCCGTGCGAATTTGTCTTGGTTTTGGCAAACCCTCTGCGGAGATCGTGCGTGTCGAAGCGCTCTCGCTGTGGCGCCGTGCGATTTCGTCTTGGTCTTGGAGATCGTGCGTGTCGATGCGCTCTTGCCTCTTGCGCCGTGCGGGCAGCGCGCCCAGGACGGGGCGCCCTCGTTCTTGAACAGGACCGGTCAAACGAGTTGTTGTTTTTGTGAGGGTTTTAACTTGTTCCTGCACACTTGCGTGTGCCAACTGCTTGCAAAGCTGCCACAACGCGCGCCATTTTTCCAGGAACTGCCACTGTTGCCAAGGTTTTTAGCTACTTTCTACACAAAGAGAGTCCAGCGAAACTTTCACCTCGCGGAGCGGCAAAGCTGCCCAAGCTGGAAAAACAAGTCCGCCTGATGTTCTCTTCGGAACATGTAGGCGTGCAAAACCTCCCACAACATGCTCTCTCGGATTTTGCCTTTGACACGAGTGGAAATGAGGCGGAACGGATGTTTTGAGGTGCTGCCATTGTTTGTCAAGTTGCTGCGTGCCACCTGAGCGTTTTCCACGGCGCTTGACCACGAGCTGTTCCTTGGAGTGGAGTGCTTCACGACAACAAACTTGAGTTGCTTGCGGGGGAAGTCTGCGCGCGCAGCTTTCTTCCAGGATATCGCTCCGTCGATGTAGCGCGAGGTGCGCGATCGCAGGTGCTTCATGACTCCTGACCAGCCTTTCCTGCTTGGCACCCACAGGCGGCTTGGCCCCTCCTTGCAAGGACATGGCCGGATGATCAGCTTGTTGATTGCAGCAACCAAGCACCCCCGGAGGTGCAGGAGAAAGTAGCTGGGAAGATCCTTGGTCACAGTCGTTGCATCAAGCTCGGCGCTGGTCGTTGATCTCCTTGCCGCGGGCGGCTTCCAGCTTTCTGAGGCCAGCCAAGACCAGGCGAACAGCCTTGTACATTTGCTTGGGCGCAAAGTGAGGTTAGGCTCGGCGCGTGGCGGTGGTCATGCAGCAGCGGCTGCTTGTCGTACCAAGGGCGTGCTGTAGGACTCGGTGTGGCATCCCTTTGCTCTTCCCAGTCTTCCAAGTGGGAACATGCGCTAGAGGCTCCAGAGCATGCGAAAAAGTACCTGCCACACACTGCCAGACGCTTAGCCAGCACAAGTGCCCCAGCCACAACACACTGATGCCACACCACACCTCTCGCATGGTTGGAGCGAATGCGATGAGCGCTGCCAGTGACGCTTGTGCGAGAAGGAGCGGCGCTCGCCGTCTATGACTTCTAGCATGAACGCAGCCATGTCCTCATCTTGAAGTGGCCTTGTCATCACCTCCAAGTAGTTCTCAACATACGTGGCAGGGTAATCGGTGCAGGCAACTTGACCAAACGCCGCAGCAGCGCCAAGCCAAGAGAATACCTCACTAGAAAGTCAGACCATCATGGCCAGCGCGCAAACGCAATTGCCACACACACCGTGAAAACACGCGTGACGTCAACAGCAACCAAAAAAACAAGCAATCGTGGTGGGTGGGCTCAGGGTGGCCGCTCCACCTTGGACGCCGGCTCGCCAGTGCAGCGGCGGACCTCAGTCAGAGTGACCACTTTGAGAAACCGCCGCTGTGTCACTGTGGATGCTTGTCCGCTCGGACGGGGTGCGCTGAGCTGCGATGGCCTCGGCAACCGGGCGATGGAAGAGAAAGGAGCCTGCGCAGGTGCTGAAGGGAACGGTCGGACGGCGCTGCCGCATCCGACACGCAAGCTGAGCACGCGCGGTGTTAGCTGCGGAAGTAAGTCGCGCGCGCTACTTTTGCCCTTGCAAGTTGCGACTGTGGGGTTGGCGATTTGGAAGTGTGCTGCGCGTGTGGGAATCGAACCCGCGAACGTGTGATTGAGCGAGGCAACTTGCACGGCGCCGCAACGAGAACGCTTCGACATGTGCGATTTCCGCAGCCCACCGAGACCAAGAAGCAGCCCGCGCTTGCGAAGGCCTCAACCACTGCAGCCATGCCATTGACAAAGTGGTTTGGCTTCAGGACGACACGCAGGCGGGGTTCGGTCCTGTTGCAGAGCACCTCGCTGGTCGCAGCGAGAGCGCTTCAAGTGAAGGTGTAGGTTGAAGGAAGGTTTTGGAGTCCAGGGTTAATGAGGTTGAAGGAAGTTTCCGGAGGTTGAAAGGTTCAGGAACACGCAAGGTTCTGGGGCCCGCGAGGGTTCTGCAAAGGTTTCGCAGGGTTCTGCGAGGGCTGTGGGGTGGTCTGGGGTGGCCCCGTGGACAGGTTCAGCAGGGTTCCGCCAGGGTCGAAAAGCAGCGCCGCCTGCTGTTGGGCATACCACCTGAGGTTTATACATTTTTTTGGTGGACAAATATGTATATATATATATATGTATACGTATACACATATACATATGTGTACTTAATGGAGCATATACAAGCTTTTGATATGCATGCAGCACTCACACGCAGGCATGTTTGTTGTAGAGGAATGAAGGCTCCATATGATACACGGATACATCGCACGCCACCAAAACAGGCGGTTTCATGCGGTTGACGTCGCGCCGTTCCACATGTTTTTCTGCTGCAGGAGAAACGGTCGCTGCCCGGGCGGGAAGCAAAGGCGAAGAAGGCGCCCGTGGCGGTCATCGGCGCCTCGGAATGGCAGCGGCAGGCGGTAAAGACAAGTCTCCTTGCCAGAAGTTTCTGCGGATATTCGCGCTTTGAGTTCTTTGCCATGGGCCAAGTGAGATATGGTAGAAATATTATGAACTGCCGGCGTATTGGGGCCCAACGCTCCCAGGTCAAATCTAGTTCGGCGCCCTTTTCCTGCTTTTGTTTTGGGGCAGTTGGGGCCTCGATTGCCCCTGAGGTTGACAGGTGCCCCAACCATGTGAGCTTTGGTCAACATGTCCGGTAGTCCACCCTTCATTGGGGAGGGACATGGTCAATTTCCTGAAAGAACCATAGGGACTTCTTATTATTTGTCTCACTCGCTCTTGGGTATGGAAGCAATTTCGACCGTGCCTCAGATGTGGGTTTGTTTTTGTCAGAAGAAAACGTCAGCTGGTTTCCTTTGTGGACGTCTGTTAGTTTGTATGGAAAGCCGCTTCAGATTTCAGCATGATTGGGTGGGGGGGGGGAACTCTGTTTGTGTGCTGACCCGTGTTCTGTTGCTTGGGCTGGGCCATGCGTCTCCATCCTTATTGTGCCTTCGGACGTGCCCTGCAATCCAGCTAGATGCTCTTCGTGATGCAGCTGCGCAAGAACTCAAAGCAGTTTCAAAGTACTCAACAGGTGATGATGTGCCATGGGAGTTTCTAACACCGCTTGCTGCACCAAAAGTGCGTGCCAGTTGTCTCTCCGGGTTTGAGAGAGAACCAGAGGCCAGCCGGGTCCCACACTTTGGGAGAAGCCCATGTTCACTCAGCCGACCCTCTGTCAGTTTGGTGTATTTCGTTTTGGTCTACTTTCCTGGGGAAAAAGGCTGTCATGGTGATGGTCCCGAAAGGTTTTGCTTTCACGTGTTGGTCTTTGCGCAAGTATGCGCATCAAAATTAGGAATCCTTTTTGCGAAAAGATGTTCAAGGACTCTGAAAGGAAAGCAAGCATTTGGGCCGGTCCCTGGTTTTGGCATGCAGGCAAGCGCTATTGGTTGGCTCGGGGTACCCACCAGGGATGTCACACATGAAGCTGGGCAACCTGATTGCGACCTCACAAAGGGGGTTGGTTTGCCACCAAAACCCCGTGAAGGTTCCTTTCATAGAGACGCAGGAGGATCCCAGAGAGCCCTGGCAATTCAAGCGCTTCATGGTCGTTTATCCGGGTGGAATTGGATCACAAATGGCTTGAGGTTGTTTTCTGGCTGAAAAGGTCCAACAAGCAAACAAGCCATTGGATTTTGGGCCACTGGTGGCTTGTTTTTTCTTTTGGGTCTCCTCTGAACAAACAAACCCGTCGAGGACTCCGTATTCGAGCCTTCCATCAGGCGGGGGCCTGTCGGGCCTCGCTTGCGCCTACGCCCTCAAGCACCGAGGACCGGGAGGCTTCAAGGTAGCTTGGTAGCTTCTAGGGGCCAAGGTGGGGCCAACTCGTAGTTTTCAGCTTTGACACTTCCCCATTCTGAAACTCCGGGATCTGAAGCTTCATCTGTGGAATATGCGCTACGCAAATATCAGTCGATTTGACAATGGAATTCCAGGAGAAAACCAGAACTTCTATGCTACAAATACAAAATATTGTGTTTTTGTTCGGCGTTGTTAATTGTTGGCGTTGATTCAGGTTCTCGCCTTCGCAGTAATCTGGCCAAAGTACTGGAAAAGAAGACCCTAGGGCAAGGCTTGGCTTGTTGGCCAGCCCGGGTGGGATGGCGGCAGAATCTTCCAAGGCATTCTAATCTATGTTATCAAACAACCAATTCCGAAGCCTTTCTGATTTCGTTCCATGACGAGTGAATGAAACAACACCGTACATCTCCTTATCAAATCTAGATCCAGGATTTAAACATCCAAATCCAGGACTCGGATTCCGGATCCAAGAGCTAGATTCCGTGATGCAGTTTTGACATAGGGCACCTCAAAAGTCGTTGGTGGACATGAATCCCCACTGAATTTTGATGTCCACCAAAGGATCCCCCAACAAGTCATACCCCTCTCTGCGTTGCCTCGAAGGACTTCCCTGCGAGGTCTTTGACACTGGCAAGCGCGGCGTCGGGGGCCGCTGCTCTTCTCGAGTCCTGCAGGGCGAAGGGAGGCGGGAGGCGGGAGGTGAGAAGGGAACCCCTCAAGGGACTTTCAGTTGGCGGTCGGCACTGTCTATTGGTCTACGTCTGGCTGAGTTTTGGGTTTTGGGGCTTCCCATTTGATACAAGACGTGCGGTAATTCAAGTCCAGTACTGATTCAGAAGCGATGGAGCCATCGTGAATGGTCCTTACCGTGTCGCAGGCCCTGACGACTATTGGGCTGCAATGGCTCCCCTTGCGATTGGGCTCTGAATCCGTGTATGCAGTTTCCTTGGCAACCTCCTTTGAAGTGAAGTAGTCATAGGTATGGCCTCGCATCCAGTGTTTTCGGCTATACTTTTTGAGACCTTAGTGAACGACGAGTGGTTGTTTTGCCAGGGAAGAGAGTGCCCCACACACCCGCTAGGACTCACCTAGTGGACCATGCAGTGCAAGCCTTCAGCGTGGCCCGGCCGGAGGTGCAGGCGCTGGTAGATGAGCGTCCTGGCTGAAGGTGCGGGAGTTGCTTCGCTGAGCAATGGGAACCCAGGTTCACCGCTAGTCCCCCAGTTGATGTTGGGCTGGCCTCATGTGGTTGTTGATCAATCGGGTGGGGGGGTGGTTGTCCCGTTTTGGAGGGCAATCCGCATCACTGTTGGAGGACACGCCCTCAATAGGGCTGGCCATGTTAGACTTGGGCATCAAGATGGCTGGGCATTCTAGTGGAGAACACCCTCCAACATGGTTGCTGACGTAAATTGCCCAATAGTTCCCAACATTGGTCGTCAAAACTGGGGAGTTTTCTGTTATCAGCATAAAAAAGCGGCACCAAGGTCCACAAAGTGGCCATCTTGTTGACAACCCCTTCAAAGAAAGGGCTGGTCTCAAAATGGCTAGGAAGCTGAAGGTGATGGATGTGTTGAATGAAGTTTCATGGAGGGGACCCCCCAACATGGGTCGCTGGACGACACAAAGCCCGATATAAATATTTGTTCAAAATGGGGGGGGGGATGATTGTAACGGAGCACAATCTGCAACATGGATGGCGGAATGTAAGTGATGACCAAAAGAAGTTGCCTCATGCCAGAGTACTTCGTTGCTTCAAATGTGAAGCCAATGGGAAACAGCATCTTTTGGGGGTGATTGCTCCATTTGGAGACATGGCCAAATGCAATGCTGCGAGTATAGCAGGGGCGGGGGCAAATGCTATATTGTGTCATGGTTTTGTGGCCGGTTATTTGCAATATTTTGGGGTTTCAAGTAAAGTCAGCGACCCGTTCTCATGGTGGAGTGTGAAGGTAGCGGCGGATTGGACGGTTGTCTCAGCTGAAATTGGGCCCATTACCTTTTTGACCGCACCGTTTCCAAGCAAAGCAAGCCAATGAAGATCAGGTCTTATGCTCAAAAGGAACCTAGGGAGCCCTCGGCTCCCAGTCCCCTACCCTTTCTCCCCCCAAGAAGGTGGATTTGGAGATGCTTTCGAGTGGAAGTACGTGCTTGTTATTACCGTTTGGTTTCCTGGGTACCAACCCACCTAACAGCTGTAAACGGGTACGGTCACCCTTCAATGATTAATGCTCGCAAGACTTTTGTCATACACAATCTTCGCCATTTTGGGTCGCCAACAAACTCTGCACCTTCAGGAGGGTTCGAACAGACCTCACATGGGGGCATTTTCTGGCATGGGGATCTCTGGCCGCCATCTATCTTAGAAGGCCTTTTCCTCTAAACTCTTTTCCCATCCACCACGACCTAATGTCACCAACAAGTCTACACCCGTGTCTTTGAGGGTGGTTTCCAACAGGCCGAAGAGAGAACCACTGCGCTCCAAAACAGATGCCAGCTCGCCAGGATGGCGCTGGATGGTGCAGCACGGCGCTGGGAGGGCCGCATTGGATCGCTAGGCGCCGGCCTCCGGCTGAAGCGTTCCGGGTTTTCGCGGATCGATCCACAATCGATACTTTTCTGCTCTCGTCTTACCTACCAGCCGAGACTGTGTCTTGGGGTGATTTTTGAAGGTGGTTTGTCCTAGTTGCTACCACCTCCGAACATCACAAGGGTGAATGGAAGTAGTGCATGGACACCGCCCTTTTCCTGATTTAATGGGTGTGGTTGTGGCCTAGAAACCGCTGTGAGCGATCGCAGCGGGAAGAGTCAACAGGGCACCATTGCATTTCGAGAATGTCACGCTGTCTTGCCCTTAGGCAGTCCTTGTCCTCAGCTGGTGCGGGCGGCGGGCTGGCTAGTTTGCATCGGTGTTCCAACCACCACTTCAGGAAAGAGCGCCGGCATGTTGAGCTCCAACCAGGCTCATCCCCAATGAAGGAACGGACAGCGGAGGGGTGGGAGGGACCGTGTCGTAAGGCCGTTCGTCCCTGATGCCTCACCCATCCATCCATTCATCCAGCCATCCAGCCAATTGACTAAGATGTGAGCAAAGCAAGTTCTTTGGCAAGTTCTCTATGCACGCTCTGCGGGCAAGTTCTCTAAGAAGATCTGCGACTGTTGTCTGAAAACGTTTTCGGAGCAAGTCTTTCTGATCAAGCTCCCTGAACAAGTTCTCTTTGCAAGTTCTCCGCGTGAGTCCTTTGCGTAGGCAAGCGCAAGCAAACCCAGCGGAAAGAAGCAAAGCGATTCGGGAAACACTATTGTGAGCCTCCTGGGCCTGTTGCGGTTTGAAGTGGAGCAAGCAGTCATTTGCAGCCGGTAAGGACTCAAATTCTTCGTGGAGCTGGTCTCTCCAAAACGGGCGCAGCCGAGTGCCCAAACTGAGTACTTGTGGGCCTTTTGTTGTTTGAAATCTTCCAGAAGCTTTTCCCCGTTCTGCCAGCGTCAATCTGCTGATGCGATTTGCGAGGGCGGATGTTGTCCAGTTTTCGAGATTTGCAAAAGAAGTCATGCGTGATTCCCGCAGAGGTCCCGTGGGCACTGCAAACGTTGCTTGCTCCTCAAGCTTTTGAAGTTCGACCCGCCCGATGTACGCAGAGGGTCCCGCGTGCACCGCACAAGTTGTATGTTCATCAAGTTTTTTTTGGGTCGTGCTCCTTGCAGGTCTGTGGTCCACTTGGGGTTTGGGACGTGGGGGCTTGACTCCCTAGACTCAAGCCACCAACCAGGGGAACGCATCCCAAAAGAATTCCCGTATCCATTGAGCAGTAACCACATGAAGGATAGTAGGGAACAGTCCCCTTGCCACTAGGCTTGGTGCGGCCGGAACTACCGTAAAAGGTTTTATTGCGGAACGGGCGGCGGACCGCTCCTGTTCCTATCGACCGGCAGGCGCGGATGGCGCCTTTGTTCGGCGGCCCAGTGCCTCGGCCGCACGAAGCTCGATTGGAGGAGTCAGCCGATGGCCCCCATTTTTTTTTCGGGTCCGCGAGATGGGCGTGTCTTTTTTTTGGAGGACGCCATTCTTGGGTTGTTTGAAGGAAGCCAAAAGGGAACCGACCGTTTCGGGGTGCCCGAGATCGTTCCTGAGATTTCCCACTGACTCCAGCAGGGTTCTGCAGGCGAGCTTTGGATCGGCAGCAAGCGCGAGGGCATGGCCTCGGTGCCAAATTGGCTGGCAAGAGATCTGCGGCTGCACCGAGGCTCCGAAACGGGCGGTGGGGATGGGATGCCGACCCCGGAAGTTTCGGATACCTCTGGAAGCTAACAAGGGAAGCCAAAGAGAGAGGAACAAATTTTAACGCCTCCGGCTCAGGCCGCCGACATTACAGGCCTGCTTTCTTATTTGCGTCCCTTTGGAATTGTCCCCTTGCCCCCTTCCCCTCTGAGATTTTTGCCCCCTTTCTTTGTTGAGATCCATTCCCCCTTTCCGCCCTAAGGCCTTTTCTCCCTCTGTTTTTTTCCCTTTTCCTCCCTAAGATGTTTTCACCCCTCTCCCTGTTGAGATCCTTTCCCCCCTTTCCCCCCTAAGGCCTTTTCCCCCCTGAGATCTTCTCCCTTTTCCTCCCTTTCCCCCACTTTCCCCCCTACGGCCTTTTCCTCCCTGGGATCTTTTCCCTTTCCTCCCTGAGATCTTTCCCCCCCTTTCCCTGTTGAGATCCTTTCCCCCCTTTCCCCCCTCCGGCCTTTCCCCCCGCTGAGATCTTCTCCCTATTCCTCCTTAAGATCCTTTGCCCCCTTTCCCTGTTGAGATCCTTTCCCCCCTTCCCTTTCAGGCCTTTCCAGATCTTCTCCCTTTTCCTTCCTAAGATTGTTTCCCCCCTTTCCCTGTTGAGATCCTTCCCACCCTTTCCCCCCTCAGGCCTTTCCCCCCCCTGAGAGCTTCTCCCTTTTCCTTCCTTAGATCTCCCCCCTGTTGGCCTTTTTTCCCCCAGATCTTCTCCCTTTCCTCCCTAAGATCTTTTCCACCCCTTTCCCTGTTGAGATCATTTCTCCCCTTCCCCCCCTAAGGCCTTTGCCCCCAGATCTTCTCCCTTTCCTCCCTAAGATCTTTCCCCCCCTTTCCCTGCTCAGATCCTTTCCCCCCTTTCCCCCCTAAGGCCTTTCCCCCCCTGACATCTTCTCCCTTTTCCTCCCTAAGATCTTTTGCCACCTTTTTCCTGTTGAGATCCATTCCCCCTTTCCCCCCGAGATCTTCTCCCTTTTCCTCCCTAGGATCTTCTCCCACCTTTCCCTGTTGAGCTCCTTTCCCCCTTTTCCCCCTAAGGCCTTTTCAGATCTTCTCCCTTTTCCTCCCTAAGATCCTTTGCCCCCTTTCCCTGTTGAGATCATTTCTCCCCTTTCCCCCCTACGGCCTTTGCCCCCAGATCTTCTCCTCCCTAAGATCTTTCCCCCCCTTTCCCTGCTCAGATCCTTTCCCCCCTTTCCCCCCTAAGGCCTTTCCCCCCCTGACATCTTCTCCCTTTTCCTCCCTAAGATCTTTTGCCACCTTTCCCTGTTGAGATCCATTCCCCCTTTCCCCCCTAAGGCCCTTTCTCCCTCCGAGTTTTTCCCTTTTCCTCCCTACGATGTTTTCCCCCCTCTCCCTGTTGAGATCCTTTCCCTCCTTTCCCCCCTAAGGCCTTTTTTCCCCCCGCGATCTTCCCCCTTTTCCTTCCTAAGATCTTTTCCCCCCTTTCCTTGTTGAGATCCTTTCCCGCCCTTTCCCCCCTAAGGCGTTTTCCCCCCAAGATCTTCTCCCTTTTCCTCCCTAAGATCCTTTGCCCCCTTTCCCTGTTGAGGTCCTTTCCCCTCTTTCCCCCCTACGGCCTTTCCCCCCCTGAGATCTTCTCCCTTGTCCTCCCCAAGATCTTTTCCCTTGGTTGAGATCCTTTCCCTCTTTCCCCCCAAGATCTTCTCCCTTTTCCTCCCTAGGATCCTCTCCCACCTTTCCCTGTTGAGCTCCTTTCCCCTTTTCCCCCTAAGGCCTTTTCAGATCTTCTCCCTTTTCCTCCCGAAGATCCTTTGCCCCCTTTCCCTGTTGAGATCCTTTCCCCCTTTCCCCCCTAAGGCCTTTTCCCTGCCTGGGATCTTCTCCCTTTCCTCACTGTGATCTTTCCCCCCCTTTCCCTGTTGAGATCCTTTCCCTCCTTTCCTTCCTAAGGCCTTTCCCCCCGCTGAGATCTTCTCCCTACTCCTCCTTAAGATCCTTTGCCTCCTGTCCCCGTTGAGATCCTTTCCCTTCTTCCCTTTAAGGCCTTTCCAGATCTTTTCCCTTTTCCTTCCTAAGATTGTTTCCCCCCTTGTCCCTGTTGAGATCCTTCCCACCCTTTCCCGCCTAAGGCCTTTCCCCCCTGAGAGCTTCTCCCTTTTCCTTCCTTAGATCTTTCCCCCCTTTCCCTGTTGGCCTTTTTTTTTTCTCCAGATCTTCTCCCTTTCCTCCCTAAGATCTTTTCCACCCCTTCCCTGTTGAGATCATTTCTCCCCTTTCCCCTCTAAGGCCTTTGTCCCCAGATATTCTCCCTTTCCTCCCTAAGATCTTTCCCCCCCCCTTTCCCTGCTGAGATCCCTTTCCCCCTTTCCCCCCTAAGGCCTTTCCCCCCCCCTGAGAGCTTCTCCCTTTTCCTTCCGAAGATCTTTTCCCCCCTTTCCCTGTTAGGCTTTCCCCCCTAAGTCCTTTTCTCCCAGATCGTCTCCCTTTCCTCCCTAAGATCTTCCCCCCCCTTTCCTCCTTAAGATCTTTCCCACCCTTTCCCTGTTGAGATCCTTTCCCCCCTTTCCCTCCCAAGGCCTTTCCCCCCCCCTGAGAGCTTCTCCCTTTTCCTTCCTAAGATCTTTTCCCCCCTTTCCCTGTTGGGCTTTCCCCCCTAAGTCCTTTTCTCCCAGATCTTCTCCCTTTCCTCCCTAAGATCTTCCCCCCCCTTTCCTTCCTAAGATTATTTCCCCCTTTCCCTGTTGAGATCCTTCCCACCCTTTCCCCCTGAGGCCTTTCCCCCCTGAGAGCTTCTCCTTCCTTAGATCTTTCCCCCCTGTCCCTGTTGGCCTTTTTTCCCCCAGATCTTCTCCCTTTCCTCCCTAAGATCTTTTCCACCCCTTTCCCTGTTGAGATCATTTCTCCCCTTTCCCCCCTAAGGCTTTTGCCCCCAGATCTTCCTTTCCCCCCCCTGAGAGCTTCTCCCTTTTCCTTCCTAAGATCTTTTCCCCCCTTTCCCTGTTGGGCTTTCCCCCCTAAGTCCTTTTCTCCCAGATCTTCTCCCTTTCCTCCCTAAGATCTTCCCCCCCCCCTTTCCTTCCTAAGATTATTTCCCCCTTTCCCGGTTGAGATCCTTCCCACCCTTTCCCCCTGAGGCCTTTCCCCCCGCTGAGAGCTTCTCCCTTTTCCTTCCTAAGATCCTTTGCCTCCTTTCCCCGTTGAGATCCTTTCCCTTCTTCCCTTTAAGGCCTTTCCAGATCTTTTCCCTTTTCCTTCCTAAGATTGTTTCCCCCCTGTCCCTGTTGAGATCCTTCCCACCCTTTCCCGCCTAAGGCCTTTCCCCCCTGAGAGCTTCTCCCTTTTCCTTCCTTAGATCTTTCCCCCCTTTCCCTGTTGGCATTTTTTTTCCAGATCTTCTCCCTTTCCTCCCTAAGATCTTTTCCACCCCTTCCCTGTTGAGATCATTTCTCCCCTTTCCCCTCTAAGGCCTTTGTCCCCAGATCTTCTCCCTTTCCTCCCAAAGATCTTCCCCCCCCCTTTCCATGCTGAGATCCTTTTCCCCCTTTCCCCCCTAAGGCCTTTCCCCCCCCCCCTGAGAGCTTCTCCCTTTTCCTTCCGAAGATCTTTTCCACCCCTTTCCCTGTTAGGCTTTCCCCCCTAAGTCCTTTTCTCCCAGATCGTCTCCCTTTCCTCCCTAAGATCTTCCCCCCCCTTTCCTCCTTAAGATCTTTCCCACCCTTTCCCTGTTGAGATCCTTTCCCTCCTTTCCCTCCCAAGGCCTTTCCCCCCCCTGAGAGCTTCCCCCTTTTCCTTCCTAAGATCTTTTCCCCCCTTTCCCTGTTGGGCTTTCCCCCCTAAGTCCTTTTCTCCCAGATCTTCTCCCTTTCCTCCCTAAGATCTTCCCCCCCCTTTCCTTCCTAAGATTATTTCCCCCTTTCCCTGTTGAGATCCTTCCCACCCTTTCCCCCTGAGGCCTTTCCCCCCTGAGAGCTTCTCCTTCCTTAGATCTTTCCCCCCTGTCCCTGTTGGCCTTTTTTCCCCCAGATCTTCTCCCTTTGCTCCTAAGATCTTGTCCACCCCTTTCCCTGTTGAGATCATTTCTCCCCTTTCCCCCCTAAGGCCTTTTCCCCCAGATCTTCTCCCTTTCCTCCCTAAGATCTTTGCCACCCCTTTCCCTGTTGAGATCATTTCTCCCCTTTCCCCCCTTTGCCCCCAGATATTCTCCTTTCCTCCCTATGATCTTTCCCCATGGGAATCCCTGTCATTCCATTTCCCTCTTTCCCCCCTAAGGCCTTTCCCCCTGAGATCTTTTTTCTTTTCCCTTTCATCCCGAAGATCTTTTCCATTTTTTCACCTGTTGAGGTCCATTCCGCCCTTTTCCCCCCTAAGGCCCTCACCAAAGCTTCTCCTCTGAGTTTTCCTTTTCTGGTTTTCCTTTTCCTCCCTACGAGTTTTCCCCCCTCTCCCTGTTGAGTTCTTTTCCTCCTTTTTCCCTAAGGCTTTTTTCCCCTCCGCGATCTATCCCCCTTTTCTTCCTAAGAATACTTTTCCCCCTTCATTGTTGAGATCCTTTCCCGCCCTTTCCCCCCTAAGGCGTTTTCCCCCCCACGGTCTTCTCCCTTTTCCTCCCTAAGATCCTTTGCTCTGCTTTCCCTGTTGAGATCCTTTCCCCCCTTTCCCCCCTAAGGCCTTTCCCCCCCTGAGATCTTCTCCCTTGTCCTCCCCAAGATCTTTTCCCTTGGTTGAGTTCCTTTCCCCCTCCAACCAGATCTGTTCCCCTTTTTCCCTGGTAGGATCTTCTCCACTTTCCTGTTGAGCTCCTTTTCCCCTTTTCCACTAAGGCCCCCAGATCTTATCCTTTTCCTCCCTAAGATCCTTTGCCCTTTTTCCCTGTTGGACTCATTTCTCCCCGTTCCCCTACAGCCTTTGCTCCCAGATCTTCTCCTCCCAAAGATCTCACCCTTTCCCTGCTAGACATTTCCCCCTTTCCCCCTAAGGCCTTTCCCCCTGAGATCTTCTACCTTTTCCTCC